CACGGGCTGCCAAAAGCTCAGTGCCAGGTGTCAACCCCACAGTCAGGCTTATCAGTCAGTGCTTGGAATAAAAGCCTCTTCATTCCCCCTCAACACACACCTGAGGGGGAGTCACCACTGGGACGGATTCCTTTGTGCTTTCAGGCTGTGTCCCATCACGTCCGGAGCCGAGTTACAGCAGATTTATGTCAAGGGCTAGACCACAGTGCCATTCTGGTCTGCCGCCAAGCAAGTCGGGGCTGGTTAGGAGACCTGAGGATTTCTACCCAGCCAGAAGGGATACTTGGCCCTGATCGGCTCCCAACCATCCACTGAGACACTGTCTGTCGCTTACAGCTCTTGTCCCCCTGCAGGACAAATTTCTGGGAAGTTAGATTGATAGAAGGGAAGGCATGGCTGCCTCAGCAAATCCAGAGGCATTGTTTCCCCCTCCACCGCACTCTGCACCCAACATATCCAATGCCAGGTGAAAAGCTCAAAAGTTATCTGATGGTGTCTGGGAATGCAGAACTGGACACCCACAAGGAGAAAAAGTTCATAATTCAAAGCCAAAGAAAGGGTCTGTATGAGTAAGAAGGAGCAACTGGTCTTTTGAACACTTCCATCTCTCCCTCTCATGTTTTTGTTTTTTGCGACAAAGAGCTGAACATGGAGTAGGGGTAAGAGCAGCCCTTTTTAGAGTCTTGCTGAGGCAGTCATTGCTGGTCCACACCACAGTAAACCCAAAACAGAGATGTCAGCCTGTGGTGCACGGAGCATTGCTCTAGGACTCAAGAAGACCAGATGGAAGTTCCAGCTCCGGAGTTCCTCCAAGTCCTCAGCAAATCACTAATCCCGCTGAATCTGAATTTCCTCAACCGTGAAATGGGATGAGAGGTGGAGGTGGAGGCCAACCCGATGACTTGGAGCCCTCAAACTCTATGATCCTCTTCTGCAAGTCCAGCAACCAGATCAGTCCTGGGACAGCCTTAATGACAGTATCAACCAAAGGTGGAAACCTCAGCTGGACACGTGAATGTCAGCCATTGGCCAGTTCTGTTGGTCCCAACGTGGCATTCAGTTTGCTTAATAAAACTTCTGATTGAGTCTAATAAAACCTATTAAAGATGCCTTCTAATTCACAAAAGAATCCAGGTTTGGAAGGGAGGAAACCAGCATTTGTTGCTGGCCACCTAAGTGCCAATTCAGTGTTTTCATCTGTTAACCCAACTAATTCCTCATAACTACTACAGTGGGTTCAATGGTGGCTCCCCCAAAATTAATAAGTCCGCGTCTTAACCCCTGGAACCTGTGAATGTGACCCTATTTGGAAACAAGGTCTTTGTAATTAAGTTAAGGATCTTGGGATGAGATCAGCCTGGATTTAAGGTGGGCCCTAAATCCAATGACAGGTATCCTTATAAGAGAAAGGCAGAGAGAGATTTGAGACATACACAGAGAGGAAGGCCTCAGAAAGACAGAGCCAGAGATTGGAGTAATACGTCTACAAGCCAAGGACTGCCGACAGCCACCAGAAGCTGGAAGAGAGGCATGAAACAGATTCTGAGAGTCTCCAGAAGGAACCAACCCTGCTGACACCTTAACTTCACACTTGTGGCTTCTAGAATTGAGAGAGAATAAATTTCTGTTGTTTCAAGCAATCCAGTTTGTGGTGACTTGTTACAGCAGCCCCTATGAAACTGATACAACCATCAGAGGTATGAGGTAAGTACCACCACTCAATTTTACTGATGAGGAAAGAGGGGCTCAGAAAAAGCTCAATTATTTGTCCCAATTCTCTCGGTGCCCCAGTGTGTGGGCTGACAGCCCTGCCACTCTCTCCACAACACCAGGCTGCCTTTAACATTAACGAGTCTCTGCTCCCTCATTTTCAGAGACAAGGAGAGTGAAACCAAAAGTTAAATGACTTATCCTAGGTTGCAGCTTCGAGGTGGCAGGGCCCCCGTCAGAATCCAGCGCTTCTGCCTCGTTCACTGATCAACTATGGCAAGATTTACCACCTCCCAGAGCCAGCTACCTTAGGGGAACCCATCTTATCATCGCCACAATTACCCAAATGTCCAGCTTCACACGAATTTTCCCTTGCAAGTAAATGGCTGAAAAGTAATGGTGTCAATTTTAATGAGGATCAAGCAAGCTCCTAAAAGGGCTCCCATAAACGAAAGCACTTCCCTCACACACAACAATGGCTTGCTGTTTAATTCCAGAACACGAGAATGTCACTTAAATTACATGGCTTTTACACTAAAGTGCTTATGGGAATGCCTTTCCAAGGAAGAATTTCAATAAAAAGATCTCACCCAGTTTGATGCTTCGTCATATCTGCACTACAAACCTATGTATCATAGCAACAAAAATAAAACCTCGGAGAATGTGAACAGGAACAGGACTTCACTTTAGCTGGGAAAGTCTCAGATTTTCTGTGAAACAGAGATGTTGCTGAGAAGCTGTTATCATGCAGCAATATATTACACTTGGACCTGTGGGCGACCAGAAATTCATTGTTCAAGGCTGAATCCCTTTTGTTTCCACTTGCTGAGATGTTCAGAACAACTGTCTGCCAACCCTGTAAGTCTGCATGAGACTTCTTTAGCTGACTCAATTCTTATTTTATTAGTGCTTCTCAAAGCAATTACTAGGGTTTTGAGCAAAGATGAGAGTATTTCACACCTCTGTCTTTCCTGAAAATGTCTTCTACTCCACTGACTTTTGGCTTCTATTTATAAAGAAGGTTCAAGGCTTGGAAAATTATTGGGGTTGAGCTTTAATGGATATTCCCAACCAGCATTGTGTCATTATTGGCCCACGTTGAGCTGGGCAATCTCCCAAATTTGTGACATAATCAGGCCTTTCTCTGCATTACTCCATACACTCCATGCTCCCTCTACATTACACCACTGAATCATACGCTCTTTTCAACAAGACTGATTGCCAGGGGATTAACATTAGACAGCACAATTCCATTATTCAGCAGCCCAATTCAAATCCAGCCCTAAACTCTAAGAGAGATTTCTGGGCTTCACAGAGATGAGCTGCCAGAAAGCTCAAAGGGGGGGTGGGGTGATGGGCTTTTGAATGTTTTACATAACAACTCAACCTAACCCCTGCGGTAAGCAAGAGCCCATGGCTAAAGTGGCCAAGATATGACTCCTGATTCCTGGAATGGTCCCAACCAACCTGAACGATTTGTAGACCTAGGCAAAGCCAAAATCCCCAAAGACTGCTAGAGCACAATTATTTTATTCCCACAATAAATTACTTATTTTCGAAATTAGGTATTTAGAACTTTTAGCCCAAAATCTCTTTCCTTAAATAGAAACACTTTCATGTCAAATTCAGGACATGTGAGGCCCAAAGTGAAATTCAAGTCATGTACTCTTTGATCAATGGATTTATGGTACATCGATGCCAAAATAAATGTTAACCATTTTCTTCTCATATTTGAGTGTTACTTCTCTTTGTGTTTGTTTTGTAAAATATCTATACATAGTAATTCCCACTAAGAAACATTCCACAAATATCTCTGTGAGAAAAGAGGGCTCTCAAACTCAGCCTTTTATACATATCCATAGGATCTACATCATACAAAAACCTATCAAATTTCACATTAAGGCTTCTGAATAACAAAAACAAAATGTTACAAATACTTTTTTCACTGAATACTTACATACAAATGGAAATATGCTTTCTAAGGCAGAGTTTCTTATGGATTTAATTTAACTTGATAGAAAATCTAAATCATTTTCTGTTTAATTTTCAGTTAACCTAAGACTTCAATTAACCAAATCTATGTAATTTGGTTAATCAAGCTTTTGGAAAGTTTTTTCATGGCTCTTTGGGCAATTCAAATATCTATGAGGTCTCTCTCTTCAAAAGAGTTTGTTTTAGTGGAGAGGAAGAAATGCCCACATGTGAAATAATACCAGGGAAACATGCATAAAAAATGATGGAGGAAAGCCTTTGTTTATAGATGCATAGTGGGTGGGCAGGAGTTTGTGGAGTTACAAAGGGTCACATTAAGGCAAAATGAATCGAGATGAGCTTTGACCTGAGACTTTAGCAGGAGTCAGCAATCTGCAAGTGGAAGTGGGCAAACTGATTAGGTAACCCACAGCAAGGACTCAAGAACAGGTGGCGATATTGAGAGGGAGGGTAGATGACAAGACAGAGAAAAGATGGCTTCTACAAAGAAAAGATCTTAGCCCACCACCCCTGCAACAATGAGACACACCCTAGGTGTAGCTCCACATGTTATCAAGACTCCGACAAGACAGAGAAACATCCTTTCTTCATCAGTTACGACAAAACCCATCATAACAGACCAGACTTGGGAAGAAATTTGAGTTTCCAGGACAACAGGCTATGTGATCTTAAGATATTTAATTAAAATAGCCTACCATCTGAGTACTTTGATTAAAAGGTATTCATAAGCCCATTAACACAGTTCCCTTTATACAAAAGAAATAGCTTCCAGGAACAGACATTGAACTTGTAGTGTCTTATGACTTTCTTCTAAGGGAAATAAAGGGCCCCTTGACATTAACCTTCCTCCAGCCCGCTGTAAGTTCAGTCATTATAATACTCTTTCCTTTACTCGTCGGCCAGCATTATACAGTTGCCCTTCTTCAGATAATATTGCCTCTCTTTTAAAAACAAAGTTCTCCAACAGCATATCTGTATCCTTTCCCTGCACACACTAACATTTTTCAGAGTAATCTCAGCTTCCAGAATGTCAGCACATTTCATACCACTTTTCACAAGATGACGCTTGGGAACCAAAAGGATCACGCAAAACACATAAAACCTGGCTAATCAGGAAACAGAACATTGTCAAATGACAGAAGAATTCTTCTCAAATGACAGCTCATATTTAGAAAAAATGAAAACGAACCAACTCTCCTTAAATCATGGGGAGAAACAAGTCTCACTTTCACGATTTCAAATGAGTCACACTACAGCAGGCCGGCATATGGCCGCCACTCTGGGAGAAGCAAACTCACCAACGACGTCGAGGTGGTAGGTGTGATTGATGGAGCCATACTCATTCTCTACCACACAGGTATAATTCCCTTTGTCGGATGGGACCACGCTTTCCATAATGAGGCTCCAGTGCTGGTTTCGTACCTGAAAAGATCAAAGTTAAAGGTGGTTATTTAACACACTTAGCACAGGATACCAGGTACTTTGCTTTCGTGATTTAACAAGAAGTTGGAGGAGACAAGGAAGGTAGAGAAGAGTCATCTGAATTCTAAATTTTCCTCATAATAACTATTCACAGTGGTGACAAATGAAAACAATAATTATCATCATGGTGAACATCTAGCAAAAGGATACTGACATGTTCAGATACACAAGAGTATGTGGTGTGGATCTGTCACTGTCATGGGTTTGCGAGTTCCTCCAGGAGAGGCCAAGTAGCCGGGGAATCTGAACACAGGCCTGCACAGTATCAGTGCCCCAGGACAGGTGAGCTACCAGGTCACTCATCCACTGGGAACCTCAGCCCCTATAGCACCAAGGAACCCTCTAGAGCGAACCCTAGTGAGCACTTACTATATGTCAGGCAGTGCTCTGAGCACCCCTTCCTGCCTTAGCTAATTTAATTCTCCCAAGGAGCCCACAAGGTAGGTGCTGTTACTGTTCCTGGAGCCTTCCAGTTTGAAAACCCCTCATTTCTTTCCCCACAGCCCTCAGATGCTGTCTGGAAGTCTCAAGAAGTTTCAGCTGGGAATGTAGGTCGCCCCCCCCCCCCAACTCTGGTGCTGGCTGAATAGATGCTACATGTTCCGAGAGAAATACTCAGAATTCCAAATATGGGAGCAATGAATCCTTGGGAAACTTAAGTCATATAGCCATCTGTTTACAAACTCCTTGAGACTTTCCAAAGATAAGCAACACACGTGAAAATAAGTTATTGTGATTCCTCCTCACAGTTCTGTCAACATACAGACAGACTAGATTCTAATGGACCCACGTTGCTTTGAAAATATTTTAACAGACTCAAGTTTTCAAGCAAGGATGATTTTTCCTTACTAGGACCAAAATGCAGATTTCATCTTTTGGGTTCAAGGCTTTAATATTTCTCTCCTAATCTAAATCATTCTTTAAAGGTATTTTGGACAAGGCACTTTGGAGAAATGGAAAGAAAAAATAAAAAGCCAGGGCCTACTAATCTTAACTATCGTTTCAGGAATTTTAACTGACCTTCTGAATGATTCTCTGAGCACTGCGAGTGTTTTCTGCCTTAATCACATAAAAACCGATAATATCAGCAGAGCCTTCACAAGCACTTGAGTGATTCAAGGAACTGAACTAGAGAATAAAGAACATCATCTCGTGAATGTTCCCTTATAAAACAGGAGGGCAGAGCAGCTGTCTACTTTGAAAAGCAGAGGCAGCAGAGGTAAGGGATTATAAGAACATGCTATAGCACAACACTTTTCATGTCAGGCGTTCAGTTCTACACAAGCCATTACTGCAGAGTGGAGATATTGATGCTAAGTTCAAAAACAAGACCACAGCTCATCACTGACAGTCTTACGAAGGATCACAGGGGTGAAGGCTGGACTCCTTCTTAACAGAGCAGAAGCGCTGAATAAAGATTGAGTTCTGGGCAGACAGTTACTTTGCTTCAGCCTGTCACTGACCCACCTGCACAACCATGGAGGTTGTTTCAGAGTCTAACATCACGGAGTAGATGATGGGAAATGCAGTCTCATGGTCACAGGTGAAATGTCTGGCAGTAAAATGAATCTGAAGCCATCAGATCTACAAGGGAGAAAGTCTGTACTTGACATTGGGGAAGACTCGCTTTCTGCTCTTGGCTGGGCCACAGACTTGTAGGAGAACCCAAACAAGAGGCGAGTTCTCCTCTTAGGAGGGATAAGCACCTTCTATGAAGTGCCTCCTGAAGGAGGAGAAGATGTGCATGCAAAATTTTCTAGTGCAATGAGAATGCTCTATCTAAATCCAGACCCCCTGAGTGCTACGCTGGAGCCACATCCTCAGAGCACGGAAGAGGAAAGTACTAGCTCCTTGATTTAACTCGAGGTAGATGGGCCCACAATGAGACCCACCTCCTCCCCAAGCTCTCAGGGGTATCAGGAATGGGACTCTCCTGGCCTCCAAGGAACCAGTCACGTGGAGGGTAACTTAGGGATGAAGCCACAGGCCCTAACGTCACCAAGCCACGTAATCCAGCATTTAGCCCTGCTGTAAATGTTCAGTTCTTTGAGGCCCTGCTCAAATGTCATGCCCATAAGCCCTTAATCATGGCTAGCGCCTGTCTCTGGACCCCATCCAAACTGTCAATGTCTTTCTTGCGCCTGGATCCAGATTTGGCACATGGCTTATTCAAAATGGAGCTAAACCTGAACTTCACTGGGAGGGCATCGTCTGCCTCTGCCCAAGACATTAAATCTTGGCACATGCAGCTCGGCATACCGCTGCTGTTTTTAACCCTAGGGCATATGGTCAGCTCCAGTCTCTTGTTGGGGCTATGGCATTCCACGTAAGAGCCCTCTTCAAGGGCATGTGCTCCCTGCATATTTACCTCCTGGAGATGCACTACAAATATTAATAAGTTAATATTTATAAAATGCTTTCACAATGAGAAACACATTTACCAAACAAGGTGTTGCTGCCCTTCCAGAGACCTTGGTCCTCAATCAATACTGCCCCACGCAGTGCTGTTAATATTTATTTTCTCACACCATTGCTCCAGAATTTGGTTCCTTGACACATCGCCAATCCCAAATTTCATGAGCTGTGGCATTTTCCAAATGGATGCCCTTAGAAGCCACCAACAGTGGAACTGTTTGATACTTTGGTGGGGGACATCCTACCATTAATTAGTGGTTGTTGCTTAATGACAAGCTAAGAGATGACAAACAGTAGCTCCATGAAGATGGGGGACATAGGCACAGAGATTTTCGTGTTTTTTTTAAACACTCTGTTGCCATACCAAGATTCATTTTAAGAGTAAAGAAACTATCCTTCCAACAAAAGTGTAAGATGTCCTCTTCAACATGTTCTTCTAAATCCTCAGCTTTTGTGTGCTGTAAGTTTTCTGCCAGTTAGGTCAAATGCTCATAAACCATCTTTGCTTTCCCAGAAGAGGGAATGTAAATACCCAATAAACATATGAAAAGATGCTTAACCTCACTAAGGATCAGGGAAATGCAAATTAAAACAATAATGAGACACTGTTATTCACCAGCTGATTAACAAAAATTACAAAGATCAATGTCATTGAGTACTTGGTGAAGGTGTAGGGAATAGAGACTCAATCAGAGAACGGGAACGTAAATTGAGGAAAACCTTTTTGTAAAATAATTTGATAGTACCTATTAAAATTAGCAACACTTTTTTTCTCCTTTTTTTTTTTTTTTTAACCCAGTTAATTCCACTTCTAGATATCTAGCCTACACAGAAAACAGCAGGATTACTTCAAGGCACATAACAAGATCATTGCTTCAAGCCCTGTTTATAACAGCAAAAAACTGGAATCTGTCAAAAAGAGAGTTATTAATAACATATAGTTCACCCTAAATGAATAGTTCATTGCAACAGAATAGCATACAGTCATTAAAAAGAATGAGGTATTCTTACATTCAGACCTGGTAAGATATCATTAATAGTTATTGACAAATGAATATAATGAATGAATAAAAGCAGGTTGAATACAAATATGTATATTCATGGTTCCATTTTGTAAAAAATACACACACACACATGCACAACCCTATAGGTACATAGAGACCTGAATCTACAAGCATGATTGTATAAACATAGCTAAAATCAGAAAGAAAATGTACCACATTGTTAGCAATATACTTTAGATAATTAAGCGGTGGGGTTACAAATGTTGTTTACATTTTTGTCATTTTCACTTTTCAAATTTAAACAGAAATCACACACACACAATACAAAAGTAAAATAAAACAGCTCCCTGTGCCTCCCTAGGGGAGCGGCTGCTCTGCAGCAGAACCCCTGCATCTGTAACTCAGGCAGACCAGACACGAAAGCCAGGGCGAGAGAAATCCCGCACCAGCCGACACATGCACAATTCCTTCTTTTCATTCCTGCCCATGGCCAGATCTTTGTGGAATTCATCATTATTTTTCATCTGCCAAGGCACAGAACAAGAGAGCATAAGGCTTCAAAACTATGTTCGCTAAAGACTTTTAAAAATAACATTTCAATACTGAAACAGAGCAGATTGAAGCTAATGGCCTAAACTCGCTTACTTGTTATACAAAAAGTGGATTCCACCAACATTCCACGCCCTGTCATTGCAAAGACAAAAGGTGGCCCAGACAGGTTTGTTCGGAATTCCTCTGCTACCTAAATCTCCCAAGGTGCACATTAAACCCTCAGCTACCTTCAGGTGACAACTGGGAATGCAGATTTAGTTTGGATGACACCAAAACACCTAGGTGAAAGGTGAAAGGTCAAAGACCCAGGCTGTCACCTGGATGTTTGGTCTCCACGTTGCAAAAAAAATCTGGACATTTCCAAATACCCAGGTGTTCTATAACAAGTGGAATAAACATCCAAAAGCTGGTTGGAAAGTTTTACTCTGTGCCAAGTCAATGAACACTGTGTCCATGTGATGGTAAATACTCGCAAGACTTCCTTCCACCAGCATCAGGGCCCAATTTATGGAGAAAGACAGCAATCCCTTTTAACCTTGGCCTTCCTTCATAAAGGCACCCCAAGAACTACAATTCAACATAGACCAGTAGTCATTAGGATGCATAAAATCTTTCTATCCCATGCCAGACTCCCATTGTCAGCAGGTTCCTGGGATCTCCAAACCATCCCTTTTGGATGTGTGTGCACGAACTGAGCTCACATGTGTCAAGGGCTGTGGCACTTACTGCTGCTTATCACCATGCAGATGTGGAGGCAAACACCAGTTTAATGCTTAAACTCCAAGAAGTTTGCTTTTCAGGAGGTGTCCAGAGAACAGGGCTGGGCAAGCTCTAATCCTCTAGGACCAGTGGCAGAAACTCTTCCCTCCACTCAGTCAACAATCAATGGATCTCTCTAGACAAAGTGGGAAGCGAATTACAAAATGCAAAGCTGTTCTCTTGATGCCCATTCCCTGAAGGTGCTCAGAA